TAAATCACATTAGAAGTATTCATTAATTAAAATCTGTTGAATCTCTTTGCAGTCCATATATAATCACAGAGTAATTAGCATTGCAAAAGTGTACCTCAGAAAAAATGCAGAAACTTTTTTAACTGAACATTTTAAAATTTGCTTCATCTATCAAAAAAATGGTTTTGTTTTACATAAGGCAATATTAGGTACATAAAGAAAAAAAGAAACAGCGATTATGTTGTTGGGCCAGATTATATAAAACTGCTATATTATTGTAATTAGTACAACAGTGACTTGGGCTATAATAGTGGCTTTCTTGTTAAAATGGCACCATTTCAAATTTATGGTCTCTAGCTAAATGAGTTTGGTGTAGCGTTGACAAAGAAACAAACACAAGCTGAATGCAGGCAAAATTAAACACAAACAGAAACCTTAGTTGTTTATTTGCTGGGTAGAGCCCAGAATGTTATTTTTCAAAGAACATTTACTTAATAAACGTTCTTCCCTACATTCTTACTGCATTTCCAATGCACAATTTTTATCTTTAAAACTTTAAGCACATTATGCATGTAAAAATATTGATGTACATGTACATTATAACTGCAGTGTCTGTAGTGGAGTGAAATCTTAAATATTGATAATCCAAAGCTTCAGACCAAAGCTCGGGGAGTTCTGTTGTGTTCAGGAGATTGTCTAAATAAGAGCAATAGTGGCTGTAAGTTCCTTTTTTCTGCATTACTTTTCACCCTCAGGAATCTGTCTCTCAGTTCTCCAGATCTTTTGTCCACACTCAGCTGAAAAGGGTTCTGTCACTTGTTTGAGTGGGATAGGTTCCTACTTCTTCTGGACCCGCAGCATCTTTCAATGGAACAAAAGCAGCACTGACGCAACAACATCATCTGCACCTGCAGAGGGGACAATGTTTGCTCCTTTGTGTACTTCTTATGGCTAGTGTGAACGCGTTAGAATTATAGGATCATTAAAGTTGGAAGAGATCTCTAAGATCATCAAGTCCAACCATCTCCTCAACACCACCATGACCACTAAATCATGTCCAAAAATGCCATGTCTACAAAGTTTTTTGAACAGCTACAGGAATGGTGACTCCACCACTTCCTTGAGCAATCTATTTTAATGCTTCACCACTCTTTCAGTAAAGATTTTTTTCTTTATATCCAATCTAAACCACCCCTGGTGCAGCTTGAGGCCATCTTCTCTGGTCCTATTGCTAGTTTCCTGGGAGACCAACACCCACCTCATTACCTCATTTCGGGTGGTTATAGAGACGAAGGTCTCCCCTCAGCCTCTTGTTCTCCAGGCTAAACAACCCCAGTTCCCTCAGGTGCTCCTCATAAGACTTGTTCTCCAGACCCTTCACCAGCTTCACTGCCTTTCTCTGTACCCACTCCAGCAACTCCATGTCTTCTTGTATTGAGCAGCCCCAAACTGAACAAAGTATTCAAGGTGCAGCCTCACCAGTGGTGTTTCACACCTGCAGAACATTTGATTCAAGGCATAAAACAAAAAATTAAATTAAATGTGATAAAGTTTAAACTATGTAAAAGCTTAACTAATTTCAGTAGTGGAAGCATTTTCTTTAATTTCTGTTTCATGATTGCTTACACCTTTCATAAAGAATTTTCATCAATAAGATTGTTGGGAGCAAATTACTGATTTTGACAGACTTTCTCAGAACTGTGTATCATGATTGGAAATGATGTCCTGGGTGACAATATAAGAAATTGATTTCTAGGAGCTGGGAGGGTGTTTTATTTTTCTGTCCCCTTCATTAGTTTTAATAGGTGAGATCATAGTCACACTTCAAGTGACCTGTAAGAGAAAGAAAGAGTATGCAATTTCCCCTCCTCTTTTGTGTATATTAACAGTGAATGGGAAAACTGACTATTACATATGTATTTTAATCTATGTATAAATTTCAGATAAACATGGGGCCTCAATAAGTAATATAAAAAAATTATTTTATATTACTGGAAAAAAATCTCAAGAGCTAAGCATCAGTATTGGAAGCAGTGTTAGATGCTGATTGCCTCTTTTTATTAAGGCGTATTCAACTTTAATGTCTAATGAACACTTGGGATAAAGGATGTGTTTATCAAAGAATCGACATACCCATTTAAGTTTTGAAATCTTGAAATAAATATCTATAAAAGTCTTCAGGAATTCTCAAGGGAAATAAGAAAAGAATAGACTTTATATATCAAATATTTCTAAACAAGCAATGTAATTATTTCTGAAATCCTTTGAAATGAGAACCAGCTAGGCAAATCAAACACAATCTCAAAGAAGTCAACAGTTTCACTGCTTTATTTTCCTTACTGTATAAAGTATATCATGGAAACAAAATGGAACAGCTAAGATAAAATACTCTTAACAAAGATTTTCACATGAACCTTATCTTATTTCAGCCCTGTCCCATTGTATGATGTTTTGCACAAACCTCTTCTGTCTTAGAAGATTACAAAACAGAAGTTTTATGATGACAGCCACAGAAGCCTAGTACATCACCTGCTATTTCAGTCTGAATCCAGTTGGAGAAAGCACTGACCTCTCCATTCATATTTCGTATCCACAAGGGACAGCAGCTGTGAACTGCAGGGCATGTCCTGCTGGGATGTTAGGGCTATAGCCTGAACTCTGTGAGAGAGGAGGTAAAGCTTGGCTAAGAGATTGCTTTCTGCAGGAACAAAGAAGTAGAGAACTTGCAACTGCTGTATGAGTTACAGAAGGTGAACCAGCAAAACTTAAATATGTGAGACAATTCCAATACCTACATCTTACCATGATTTGTAACGACTGTGGGCGAGCCACAAAGGATCCTTTTGTTCCTCTGTTCCTGCAACATCCAAACTTAAGCTTCCTGGATACTTCCTTCTTGTTTTGACCTGTTCCATTTATTTTCTGTAGCCTATGTCATGGCCTCTGAGTCTGCCTCGTGATTGCTTCCCTGTTACTAGTTTTATTTTCCTATATGTGAAGGAGATCTTTCTATCATATTATCATTCTATGATTCTGTGATCATCTATAGGCTGAGGTTGCTGCTATACTTGCTACAAGACTAGGGACCACATTTGTGTCATTTATCCCCTTTATTATTTTCACTCAGAGCTACCAGGCATTATCTGTTAGCGACTGGGTATATGGCAAAATTTGTAATTGGTCAGACAACAAATTACTGATGTTAATTTCTTACAAACCAACCGTGGAGCTGAGGATAAAGTCCATTTGTCATGGCCAGTGGTAGGTTAAAGATTATTATATTAAATGTTGGATGTAAGATCAGCTTTCAACATCAAAACCAGTTAAGCTTCAAAACATAAGCAGTTTACTTGTTTATAAGAACAGGTTCAGCAAGCATCTGTCAAAGATAGATGCAACATACTATTCATCAGCATTACATTTGTCTTCCACACGGTACGCGTCAGCTGCCGGCCACAAC